GGGAGGGACAGGGGTGGGTGGGAAGGAGGTCTCATGCCTGGGGCCTGGGATGGACTTTTCTGAGAAGTAGGGGAGTGGCCCACCCGTGAACGGCTGGACAGCCCGGTGGGATGGTGAGGATGGCCACCGTCACCCATAAATATGGGGCTCTTTGAAATTGCCAGCCCGAAGCTGGGATCCAAGGCACAAATTTAATGGGAAGCAATTAAAAACTCACTCAGTTCCGTCCTCTGTAAGTCTCCCCCTCACAGAATCCTTGCCGCATCTGACCGTCTCTCTAACCAAGCACACTCAGGGGGCCCCCCAGCCCCTCCCTCAGCCCCTCCCCCTCTCCGAGCCCATTCCTGCCCTACTGCCGGGGGGCGGCCAGCCCGGCTTCTCTTCCTTGGAACTGCCACCCGCCCCCCACCCAGCCCACATACGGCCCGGCCTGGGGGCAGCACAGGCTCAGCCGGTCTGGCCAGGCTGGGCATTCAGGCCTCCCATGCAGCCAGGCCTGTCATTACCCCACCCTGAGCCATTGGGGAGGTTGGCCACTGGTGTGGGCTGCCAGGCCGAGGGCTGAGGGCCGAGGGCGACCTGCTCAGCTTGGGGCTGGGCCTCCACTTCTGAGCGCAGCAACTGTGGCTTTCTGGGGCCTCTCCTCTGGGCCCGCCAGACCCCGGTCAGGGTGGCCAGAAGAATCTCAGGGGGCCCAGCTCCTGGGCCCTGATTCTGTGTCTTCCCTGTGAGCCTCCCAGAGCCTGGGAAGGAGGCCTCGTCACCCTCCTTACCCAGATGAGGAAATCAGTTGAGAGAGTTCAGTGCTGTTGCCCAATGTCACGGAACGGGTAGTGGCAGAACTGGGACTCGACCCAGGGAGGGCTGGGGTTATTTCAGAGGGGAGCCACAAAGGGGCCACCATGTCCTCCCCCAGACTGGCACTGAGAGTGCCAGTCCGGGGGCCCAGCCTTCCCAGCGGGGCGGGATCCACCCTGGGGAAATCCCGGTTGCTGCCAGAGCCACGCAGGAGGCAGCCGGTCCACACCGGCCCGGGTCTGTTCTGGAAGCCTTGGGACAATGCAGGGGGATGCTCTGAAGTGACCTTGGTGACACAGTGTGTAAACTCACTGAGGACTGTGACAGTTCCGTTGCAGATTATTTACTGAAGTTTAGATGTCTTAGAACTTAATGGCGTTGTCTCTGGTTAAAAAAAAACAGGATCTTAACTCGTGGCTGTAGGCTGAAAAGTTTGTGAACTTCTGCAGAAATAAATGGCTTTTTAAAAAAATATTTTATTTGTTAGAGAGAGCTTGAGCCAGGGGGAGAGGCAGAAGGAGACTCCCCTCTGAGCAGGGAGCCAGACGGGACTCGATCCCGGGACTCCAGGATCATGACCTGAGCCGAAGGCAGACGCTTAACCAACTGAGCCACCCAGGCACCCCAGAAATAAATAGTTTTGGACCAACTTTCAGCTAGACCAGTTTTTGAGCAGAGAGTGAGGCTGTCTCCTTTTTGTCTTAAAAAAAAGTCTGCTTGATTTTACAAGGATCAAAATGTTACATTCGGTGTGTGGGCGGGGTGGGGGGTGGGGGAATAATTTTGAGCTGGCACCAGCTCACCTGGTCTCTGTCTTCTTGTTCCCAGTAAATAAGGAGGAAAGGTCCCGGGACCCGGGTCTGCTTGGCCCACGGAGATTCTTCTCGCTGTCCTGGTAGGGGTCCGGTGGGCAGGGCAAAGTCCCTAGAAGGACACAGGCTCTGGGCTCAGAAGGCAGCAGAATGGCTAGGTTTGGGTGGGAGCAGGAGCCCTTTTCCTAAGGATGCTGGGGGAGTGGACACAGGTCACAAAGTGTGTGTGTTGGGGGGGTGGGGTGGGGAGCTGTAATCCCGGGCTTGGCTGACCTCCTAGGGCTCTGGGGACGAGGAGTCTTAAGGAGTCCCAGCTCCCACCTGGTGGGAGCGGGACCAGAGCTGAGGAGTGGCTCCTTCGTCCTCATTGGTAGTGCGCTTTCCAGCGGACAAGGCATTTTCACAGCCTTATCTCATTTGACAGCTGTCTTTGAGAGGGGAGGAGCGCCGATGTCCTCATTTGACAAAGAGGGAAGTTGAGGCTGAGAGGGAAACTGGCCTCTCTGAGGTCACATGGCTGGCAAGAGGCTTTTGAGGCGGGCAGGGATGGGTGAACAGATCTGGGGAGAGGGCTGTCCTTGAAAAAAACCAGCATGTATGGCAACAGTTCTGTTGGCATAAAACTAGGCAGTGAATGCTGGGAGAAAGAAGAGGAAGTAAGTACCAACCCAGCCCTGCTCACCTCAGAGGCAAAGAAGATGGATGGCAGACCCATTAGATGTCCCAGTAAAATGTTGTTCAAGCTGTTAGGAGCGGCAGGCTCCGGAAGCGGGAGCGAGTGTAGGAAAAGTGTCTGGTCTCTGCTGGTGTTTTTCCTGCAGCAGGTGGGTGGGACCCCGCCAGGGCCTCCTGGCCCAAGTCAAGCCTCCACAAATATTTCTCCAGCTCCACTCATGTGCAGAGCTGCTCACGGTCTCGGGGGACCTCCTGTTCCTTCTGCACACCTGGGCCCATAGCCCCGCCTGGGCTCCCCCTGCTCCTGCCCTTCCCCTATGCTCAGCCCCTCCCCCACCTGTGATGTGCTTGGCTGAACTGGGCAGGGAAGGACAGCTTCTTAGTCACTTCTTTGGGCCACAGGTGGAAAGTTCTAAGGCCTGTGTGCCCCCCTCCCCCACTCCTATTTCTCCAAGTGCCATTTGGCTGTGTCACAAGAAAACAAGGGCAGGAAGTTGGCAGGGGTAGGGCGGGGCGGGGGTCTGGCCACCTGGCCAACCTACTTCTGGACTCAGAAAGCTTACTGAAGGGCTGGGACCATGGATGAGGGGCACCTGAGTAAGGAGGCTCTGATGATGGAGTGCCCATCCTGTTCTGGGCAAGCCCTCGGCCTTCTCTGGGCCTCGGTTTACCCATCCGTACCAAGGCTGTAAGAGTCCCTGCCCTACTTACTTTCGGGGAGGCTGGGATGAGGTCATCACAGGAAAGCACTTATTGTCAATCTCGAAGGGTACTTATCTCTGTTGTTCAGCCCGCAGGCGTCCTCGTGAGCTGTTCCTCTGAGCCTTGTAAGGAAAACCTGGGAGGTGTGGTCCAGGCAGAAACCATCCCTGTTTGTGTTGGTGTGTGTGCCTGTGGGAGAGGGGGTGGAAGTGTAGGGGAAGGTGGGGGAGGGCATTTGGGAACCAGGAGAGTGCCTCCTGCCTTACTGAGTGCTCGAGCATTCATTGAGCACCCCTGCTTCTGTCCTCTGGGAGCCCCCAGCCTCATAGAGGGGCCAACCACAACGCAAGACCTCGACTTCCCCACCATGCTAGATTGTCCCAGCCGGCCCTGTGGTTTGTCAGGCCATCCGCATGGGATCTCAGAGGCCTCCCGTGTGCTCAGGGCTCACAGATGACTCCAACCTAAATCGCTCTAAAGCATGCCCACTTGCTGATTCTCCCGGAGGAAACTCAAGGACACGCGGCCACCCCAGGGGGCCGGGCTTGGTTGCTGGACAATGCTGTGAGCTCAGGGAGCCATGTTGGTGGGGACCATGTGGAGGGTGAGGGGTTCCCTTGATCTAGCCAGGATGAGCGAGGCCCAACCCCTCTCCCCCATAAAGACCCCCCCCCCCAAACCCTGCCCTGTTTTCTTTCACCACCATTCAGTTTCCAGAGACATCTTTCTAAGGTGTGTGGACCCCTCTCTGCCTGGCATCCAATGCCCTTGCCCATCCCGGGGCTCGGTGATCTTTGGGGCAGAGGTTTCTGGCCCTTTCTCTCCGGCCCCTCCCCCACAACCCCAGGGTCTGGTCCGACTGGATTCCTCCAGGTTCCTAGAATTAGCTCATTTCCCCAGCGCTGGTACCTTTGCCCTCCATGTTGCTTCTCCCCAAATGTCCTTTTCACCCAGACCTGCTGCTTTGCACAACTCCCAGGGGCCCCATTCGTGGTGATTCCTGCCCTCAGCGCCCTCTGCACAAAACCCGAGACTACAGCCCCCCCCCCCCCCCCCCCCCCGAGTTGTGCCCTGCGGCTCCCCTTCCCTCCTAAGCCCCCTCCCCAGTGCCCCACCTCCATCCAGTCTGAGCTCTTCCTCCCCTTTCCAGGTCTCTTGGGACTTTGCCCCCACCCTGACGTTATCTGACCACTGCTCTGTGTGTCTTCCTTGAGTAAACAGTCTTTTGCTGGGCTTATGCTCCCGGGGCCTGGCCCATGGCTTGCTCTCCGTGACCTCCCCCACTCAGTTTGGGCCAAGTGGCCTCAACCCCAGCAGGAATTGGCCGAAATTCTGCTGGTGGGGGCGGGGGACAGGCTTCCTTCTCTCTTCAGCCAAAAGACCTCCTCCTCTGGCAGGGCTGGGAAGCCTGGTGGTGGGAAGGGAAGGGATAACAGGGGACAGACCCAGGAGTCCTGGTCCCCCAGCCGCTCGTTCCCCAAAGTGCCCTCATCAAGCCCACGCCAAAATCGCTGGGGAGGCAAGTGCCCAGATGGTGAGACTCGGAATAGTAATGATGGGGCCAGAGGGGACGGTGATAAGGACCGGACTACAGTAATCAGGGTGGAGCTGCTCTTTGATATTCCCAGGACTTCATCCTCAGACCCTCTCCCTGAGGGTCCCCGCCCTGTCTGCCCACCCAAGCCTGGAATGAGGGAGCCCTGAGGTGTGGGGATCCTGGTATTCAGGACCCAACCGTGGCTGGGGCTGCTTGCCCCATGTGTCCAGGTGCTTGGGAGCTGTGACTCAATGTCTGTCTCCAGGCTGACCTCAGCAATGGGCCCGGGGGCAGGGGGAGAGGGCAGTTTCCCCCGAGACTGGCTCTCCAGGATCCTGACTCAGGGGCCCATCAGCCTTGAAGTGCCTTTGTTGGCCCGGGTTCAGGAATCCAGAGAAACTGGTCAGGGGGCAGGCCCCAGGGACTGAAACCCCTCCCTCTGCTCCCGCCCCCACCGCAGAGCCATATAACCGCCCCTGTAGCGGGTGCAGAGCCCGTGGCTGAAAGGAACCGTCTAGGCACACTGGCTGGGCTTGTGCTTCTGACTCCGGAGAGCTGGAGAGCCGATCCGGTGTTTCTGGACTCCAAGTGAAAGTCTTCCTGTGGACGCTGAGGGTCTGTCCTCAGCGCTTGGATTCCTACAGCCCCCAGGGCCGGACCCCCACAGCCTTCCAGGTCCTAGAGCCCCGCAGACGCTGAGCCATGGCCTCCATGGGGCTGCAGGTGATGGGCATCGCGCTGGCCGTGCTGGGCTGGCTGGGCGCCATCCTGAGCTGCGCGCTGCCCATGTGGCGCGTGACGGCCTTCATCGGCAGCAACATCGTCACGTCGCAGACCATCTGGGAGGGCCTGTGGATGAACTGCGTGGTGCAGAGCACCGGCCAGATGCAGTGCAAGGTGTACGACTCGCTGCTGGCGCTGCCGCAGGACCTGCAGGCGGCCCGCGCCCTCATGGTCATCTGCATCATCCTGGCACTGCTGGGCGTGCTGCTCTCCGTGGTGGGGGGCAAGTGCACCAACTGCGTGGAGGATGAGAGCACCAAGGCCAAGACCATGATCGTGGCGGGCGTGGTGTTCCTGCTGGCCGGCCTGCTGGTCCTGGTGCCCGCGTCCTGGACGGCCAACACCATCATCCGGGACTTCTACAACCCGCTGGTGGCCTCGGGCCAGAAGCGGGAGATGGGTGCCTCTCTCTACATCGGCTGGGCGGCCTCGGGCCTGCTGCTGCTGGGGGGGGCCCTCCTCTGCTGCAATTGCCCGCCCCGCACTGACAAGCCCTACTCGGCCAAGTACTCCGCCGCCCGCTCCGCCCCAGCCAGCAACTACGTGTAAGGCGACTCAGCTCTGTCCCGCCGGCTTTGTTCCTCCCTGGACTGAAGGCGCAGCCCTGTGAGCCCAGGATGGCCCCGGGGCTGGACAAGCGGGGACTGAGCCAGGCCATTGTTCCGGCAGCCCTCAGCCCCTTCTAGCCCCCTTGGACACTCACCTGAGGCCCCTTCTACTCGAGCAAGGATGGACAGAAAGGGACTCCTGTGCCACCCTCCACTGAAGGGCCGGAGGATACAGGAGAGAGGGCGGAAGTAACAGGTGTGGCGGGGGAGGCGGGAGCGGGCTCCTGCTGGCCAGGACAGCTCAGCCCTGACTTGGCCTGGGCTCTGCCTCGTGCCCTGCGCATGCCCGTGTTGGCCAGGAGATCGGCTGGGGCCTCGCTCACCCACCTGACTGTAGAGCCAGAGTTGACACGGAGTTGACAGACGGGTTTGGAGGGGAGGGGTGAAGGTGCTACAAACTGGTTTGGGTAGTGGTGGGGAGGAGGCCATGGAGGCTGCCCAGGCAGCCCGCACCCCTTCCTGCCCCCACCCTGCAGCCTCAGGGCTCTGCCTCGGCAGCAGGACCCCGGGACTCTTGGGACTTGCGACATCTGCCACCCCTGCCAAGGTCACTGGACATCCTGGGGACAGCTGGGGGGGGGGGGGGGCGGTCTCTCTCTGGCCTTCACTCCCGGGAAGTCCTGGGCCTTTTCCCTGCCTCCTCTGTGGTTTGTTTTATAACTTAAGGAGATCTGTTGTCATGGTAATTACTATTATTTTCTACAATAAATGGGTCCTGTGCACAGGAAGACCGTATCGTTTCTGATTTCAGCCATGAAGGTGGGCAGGGCAGGGCTAGAAGCCTGGGCAGGGGGCCGGCGAAGAACAGGACCACTGTGATGTGGCCGGGACAAGAACACTTAAAAAAAAAATGGTTTTGAGGAGTTGTGACAAATCAGAGCTGGCCCTCACCTTGGAATCACCTTGCTCAAAGCCCTTCATTTGGTAAAAGGTAAAGCCATACATAGGAAACACGCTGTGTGCCCAGGACTGTGGTGAAGGGTTGGGGACCCCCGGTTGGAGGGAGGCCAGGTAAGAACACCCAGCCCTGGGAGTGGGCCACCTGCCCTCTCCTCCTCTTTGTCCCCGCTTTGTCTGGGAAGCCAGGCCGGTCCGCTCGCCCTCTAGGTCCCATGTCCTGGCTTCGGCCCAGGCTGTCCCTGCTGTGGGTCTGGAATGTCTTGTTCCCTTTCTCCAGCCCCCTGAATCCTGCTCGTCCTAAAGGCCCAGCTCCAAGGCTCCTTCCTAATGAGCCTCCAAGGCACGCTTGGAGCCGAGCTTTTAGAAATGAGAATGCTGGGCACGTGAACGTATTTGGTCAAGGCCAGAGGCATGAGCACGGGTTTCCTGGTCCTCCAGTTAGGGTGAGAGGACCTGCCACCATGGCAGGCGTCAAAATGTCACATCTGTGGCCCTATCATGCCTGGCGCAGGGACGGCCCGGAGTGGGAGCCCTCTTTGTTCTGTCTCTTCTCATTTCCGTCCTTCTCAGGGACAGATGTCACCTTCCTGGGGGAGAGAATCAGAGCCAGAGGCCTGCAACCCCTTCTGGGACTCATTTAATAGGCAGAATTCCCTGAGGGGCAAGGTTGGCACAGGGGCCCCATTTTACAAATGAAGCAGAGGAGGCCCAAGGACAGGCCTGGCTGAGGTCACGCGGAGAGTCAGAGGTCAGCGGGGGGCTGAGAACTGGGCCTCACTCCCTCCACCTGGGCCACATCCTGCTTCCGGTACAGGTAGACAATGCCGGAGATGAAGCCATCACTGTCCGAAGTTCCAGGCCCCACCTCGAGCTCGGAAGTGGCGAGTTCCCACCGGTCCACGGGCCAGGCCACCAGGCGTTGCCACGCCCCGGCCCGTTCCAGCCCGTCCAGCGTGGCCTCCAGTGCCTCCTGGTAGCGCAGGTTGGATGGGTTGGTCCTGGTGGTCAGACACACCAGCCCCCCTGGAGAGGGTGGGGTGGGGGAAGGTGGGTGGGGGAGGGGCAGGAGCCTTGGTTCCAGGCTCGAGGCCCACCCCTTCCCGGGAAGGTTGTCCCTTTCTGCTCCTGTCCTCAAGGGTGTCCTCAAGGGCATATATCCTCTCAGCTTTGTCCCCGGGCCAGCCTTTCCCCACCTCCATACCTCGGCGGCTCACCGTTCCTGCCCCAAGAATACCCTTCTGCGCCCTCAGCCTGACAGCCTCCTATGCACCCTTCCAGGCCCAAGTTACCCTGGGAATTCTTGGCTTAATCCCCTGGACAGGGGGGGCTCCGTCCTCACTGCTCACCCAGCCCCTCTGCTGGAGGATGTGGCTGTGTCTGGAGGCACAGGAAGGAAGCACTCTGGATCTCGGGCAAGTCCCCTCACCTCTCTGAGCCTGTTTTCCCAGCTTACAGAGTGGGGCTGATTCCCCGGGGTCACAGGAAGGACTGCACAGTCATTAAGCACTGGCTGAATGAATAAATGACCTATCCCTTCGGGTCCTCCCCAGGCACCGATAGCATGCCCAGTGTGGGCTCAGATACATGTAGGAGAGATGGTGTCTGGAGGGCTTCCTGGAGGAAGGGGTGAGGAGAAGTAGGGCCCTGCGCGATGGGTGGATGGGGCTCCGTGGGAGGAGAGGCTCCAAAACAGGGAAGTCTGTGCCACGTGGGCAGACAGACGGGGCTCCGGCCAACTAAGGGGCCTGATGAGCATGGGCTGGGCTGGTTCTGATGGGAGCTTCCTGTTCTCTCGAGCCCAGTCACTGCCTCTCTGACCCCACTCAAGACCCTGCGTCTGTCAGCCTGCACAGTTCCCTGAGGCCGAAGGCTGCCCAGACCTGTCCAGGCTTAGCGACAGGTCCTGCTGGGCCCTGTGGGGGCGAGGGGGGCAGGGAGAAGATGCAGTCTTGCTGCAACAGGGGCACCTTTGGGGCTTGCTGGCCCCGTCCCGCAGCCGAGTCAGGGCCCCACCACCCTCCTGCTCCGCCATTCCTCTTTCTGCCCATGACTTCCTGCGGCTGTCCGCCTGACTTTTTGTTTCTGCCGGTGGCCGCCTTCTGTGTGGGCTGCCCTCACTCCCCGGCCCGGCCCCCGGAAACACCGCTCTTCGGTGTGTACCTGCAGCCCGGAGCACAGCCCAGCCGGGCACAAGGCACACGGTCGGAGCACAGTGAACACAATCCTCAGCTGCACATCAGTCCACGTGGGGAGTTTACAAAAAGTGCCTACCGTAATCCCGTGGGGGCCGGGGCTGTGCCACTGCTTGGAGGAGAGGAGACAGAGCCAGAGAGGAGAGTGAAGCTCTCCTTCAATGGATAAGAGGCCACCTGGCTACCCGCCTGCCCTGCCCGTTTGCCTGGGTCTGTTGCTGGTGGCCGCCGGTGGCTGGGATGCGAGGCTAGGCTATGTGACCCAGGGCAGGCCCCGGCCCCTCGCCTGGCCCAAGAGGTTCTGAGGCTGGTGTCTGTGCGCATGGTGAGGGGGAAGGTGTGTGCCTGGGTTGGATAGGCTGCTCCTCACCTGGCTTGGTGACTCGCAGAAGCTCAGGTATAGCACTGCAGGGCACCTGGCCGTCACTGAGGGCACCCACTATCAGCACTGCATCGAAGGTCCCTATGCAGAATGTGGAGATGTGCTGTGGGGGTCTGTCTTTGTCGTGGCCTCATGACACCCAGCAGGAGGGACCAGGCCTGCCACTTGCAGGGGGATATGGCAGCTGTGGCCCCTCCTGGGCTGACATCAGATCATGGGGTGGAGTGCTAGAGAGAGAGGGGGAGGGGCTCACGGGGGCTCAGAGAGGGTCTCAGTGAGGCTTTGGGGGGGCTCAGTGTGGGAGGGGGCTTGTGGAGGGGGATGGAGGCTGGACAAGAGAAAGGTGCCTGGGTGGGAGGGAAGTACCTTCAGAGCTGGGCAGAGGCTCCTGGCCCAGAATGCAGAGGCTGAGGCGCTGGTAGAAGCCACGGGCTCGGGCCTGTTCCAGCATCTCTGGGCTCCCATCCACTCCATGCAGCTGGAGGAAGCCCCGAGCCTGCAGCTGAGATTGAGGGGGGCGGGGACTCAGTCACAGATCACACTTGCCATCTCCCAGCTGGGTCCCTGCACCTGGGGAGGGCAGTGGGCCCCGCTGTAAATGCAGTCCAAGTATTTGGGACCAGTGAGTCTGAGGGGGGAGGCAAAGTTCTGGGGCCAAAGTTCTGGGTGAAAGGAAATTTGAACAAACGCGGAGCTGAAGAGAGGGCAGGGGATCCAGGGAGGCCTCACCTCGGCAGCCACCAGGCCGGTGCCACAGGCCACATCCAGGATCAGGGCAGCATGAGGTGGGCCCGGAAGGGCTTGGGTAAGGCAGTCCACGGCGAGGCGTGGGGCACGGTACTGCAGGGCGGCCACGTCCTGGGGACAGAGTGCTGAGCCGACCGGTACCCAGTGCCCCACTGTTTGGGGGATCTCCATGTGGGGTTGTCTAGGAGTCAGCCAGGTCAAGCTGTGTGTGTGTGTGTGTGTGTGTGTGTGTGTGTGTGTGTGTGCGCGCGCGCGCGCGCGTGAGTGCCCACTCACCAGGGCTCCAGCCCTGCCGGGGACTCCAGCATGAGATGCTTTCCTCTGCCCACGGGCGAGGATTAGAGAGTCAGTGCACAGCCCACTGCTGGGAACTGCTCTGCTGGCCAATGCAGCACTCTCTCCTTAGTCCATAGTGACCCCTCCAGAGGCACCTCCTCCAGGCGGCCCCTCTGTCTGGGCTGCAGTCCCAGGGCGGGGAGGTCTTGGTTCCTGATTTCTAGGGGCTGCCAATGTGGAGCCATGGGGCTGGCCAGAGGGCAGGACTGCTGTAGGTGAGCCGAAGAGGGGCTAGTCCTTGAAGGGGGCAGGACTGCAGGGGCTCACCTCATTCTCACAAGCCACCCTGGGGTGATGCGAGGCTAACTCTTCCCACTTTACAGATAGGAAAGTTGAGGTTGGGCGAGCAAGAGAGGTGGAGGTGAGGAGCCTGGCCAGTTTACCTGGTCATAGTCCGGAGCCCAGCGCTTATAGAAGTGCAGCTTGTCGCCCAGGTCGGTGATGCCGTGTAAGACCCCCACCCGGGACCGCGCCTCAGACAGGCTCCGGCCCTCCTCCTGAGCCATCCTCCTGTGGGGACCCAGCCTCCGTTATCTCGAGGCCCACTGCGATCTCTCCCATTCCCAACCCTCCACCCGCCAGGCCATTTCATAGGCGGTGACAGTACACACAGCGCGAGACTGGACACGTGGGCTTCAGGGCTGGGGGGACGGTGCTCCCCGCAGCGGGAAGTAGGACCTGCCCCCACCTCCCCACTCCCAATGCGGTGAGCCGGATTCTAGCACCAGAGGGATCTAAGGAGGTAGAGGGTCAGAACTCACCGCCAATCCGACTCCCCTGCGGTGTTTAGAGCCCCGGAATTCGGGGCGGGGTCTGTACGGCCGTACAGGCCCCGCCCCCACCGCCCTCGATGATTGGCTTTCCGCTATGAGAAAGTACCCAATCAAAGGGAAGCGCTGGCACCGCCCCTCCACCATCATCCAATGAGCTCAAAGTTCTTGGCCTTTCTCTAGCCGGGGAAGATTTGGACTCCTCCGAAGCATTTTCAGGGTTTCCCAGTTTAGGAGCATCTCTGTGCCCTCCTGGCTCTCGACGTCCTTTGTATGCTTTTACTTTTAGGAAGTGAGGGCCTCTGAAATCTTATGGGCAAGAGGGGGACCTAAGATCAGCCTTCCTTTCTTTAGAACGGTCACCTTGGTCTGGGCAACGCCATCCAGTA